AATCACGGGTGAATGCGATGAGTGGGGCATTCACCACCTCCTATAAGGAGGTGCCTAAAAGGCCGGAGAAAGATAATAAGGTTAACATGGATAGATTGCATGGGCGGTTGATATGGATGGATTGCATGAGAGATTGACATGGATTGATTGCAGCGATCACATGGATAGTTGATATGGATGGGAAGTTAACATGGGAGATTGACATGAGAGGTTGACATGGATAGATTACATGGATGGATTGTATGGTAGAGATTGACATGGATAGATTGCATGGGAGGTTGACTTGGATGGACTGCATGGGAGATTGACATGGATGGACTGCATTGAAAAGATAAATTACCCGGGTGATTAACATGGATGGACCGCATGGGAGGTTAATAGGGATGGATTGCATGGATGGACTGCATGGGAGGTTGTCATGGATAGATTACATGGATGGATTGTATGGTAGAGATAAATCACCCGGGTGATTAACATGGATGGACCGCATAGGAGATTGACATGGATGGATTGCATGGGAGATTGACTTGGATGGACTGCATGGGAGATTGACATGGATGGATTGCATGGAAGAGATAAATTACCCGGGTGATTAACATGGATGGACCGCATAGGAGATTGACATGGCTGGATTGCATGGGAGGTTGAATTGGATGGACTGCATGGAAGATTGACATGAATGGATTGCATGGAAGAGATAAATCACCCGGGTGATAAACATGGATGGATCGCATGGATAGTTGACATGGATGAAATAGCATGGGAGGTTGACATGGATGGAGTACATGGGAGATTGACTTGAATGGATTGCATGGAAGAGATAAATCACCCGGGTGATTAACATGGATGGACTGCGTGGAAGAGATGGTTGATTTGGATGGATTGAATGGATTTCATGGGAAAGACAAGTGTTTTTAAAGTGTTCATGATATACTTCAAGATTTATACACGTATTAACTATGTAAAGGTTATTCCATCACAGGTTATTACGAAATGCTTCTGGAGAAACAGATCGGGGATTATCCAATCAAAACTCGGTGATTACAATTAGGGAATTTTACCATATCGATAGATGAAAATTTCAAATATAGTAATAATTTAGCATTTTAGAAATTATTGTTGTAACGTGATTTTAATATCATGATGAATTTTTAACACATGTAGGATATATAACGTTTATAATAATTTGAGATTTATCGAAATTATTTGATCTTTAATTTTTTTTTGAGTTTGTTTATTATAAATTAGCTTTAATAAATTTGTATGCATTATTTATTATGAATTATTTTAATAATAAATTTGTACGAGTAATATAGCTTGAATTTAAAAATAAAATCCATTATTTCACGTAGACAAGTAATAATTTATTTTATTAATAAAGATTTGATAATTTACAATTATGAAATATAAAATCTCATCTACTTCCATGGTTAATCATGCATCACGAAGTTAACAAGAATTAAATGCACAAGTTTCAACATAGGCATTGGGCATAACTTTCTTGACCATGTCCTATGTATATGAAGAACAAAACAAATGCTTACACAGAAAGTTTGACTTTTCACTAATTTTAGTGGCAACAGGTTTTAATATTAATGATCTACTCTCGTGGCATTGGTGACGCGTATTTTAACACATGTAAATTAATTGTTAAATTTGGTTTTGGTGACGTGATTGAATCTTTATTGATCTCTAAATCACTAATTTTTATAGCGAAAGTAATAATAATAATAAATTGTATAAAGAAATTTACGCTAACGTAATTAATAATAAATTTTCTTTTGGCTCAAGTCTCTAAATATTTTATAGAGTATCATTATACATGTAAATACTAATAAAATGATTAAAGAAAAAAAATCAACAATCCTACTTGTAACAACAATAGTGTTTTCCAGTACAAACTTATTGTCTATACTTGAAACTATATTCGCGTTAAATAAATCACAATGGGGTAATCCAAATGCTAATCCGCTTTGTGGGAAGAAAATTGTTCATGGACCATTAGGATCGGTCACCGTGACAGTACAAGATAGTTGGATTTAACTTTGGATACTATTTTTAATGCTGGTTTCGTTCCAATAACATGGAATAACATGGGATATAGTGTCTCTTCCACAAATCTGCTATTCTACCATCATCTATGCCATCACCTACTTCATCCTCTCCAACCCAATGATCGTCGTATCAAATTTCTGTATACATGTATTCAAGGGTTTCTAGTGTAAATAAATATGAATACAGTGGCGATCAAAAGTAATGCAACGCAAAATTGAAAATTGTTAAATCACGATATATTTATAAGTAGCTAGCAAAATTAATAAATATGGTACATTAATAGTACCAGTTTATTTATTAAAATTTAATTTACTATTGTTAAACACAATTTTGAGATAAATATATAAACTCACACAAATGAGTGTTGTATTTCTTTTGATCTTTTATTCAAGAGATCAAATGATAAGTAATGCTACACAGTAGTCGCAAAATAAACAACTGTTTTGTTTATTACAGCTTTTTAACAATAAAAAACAAAAAACAAAATGTCATATGACTCTTGAAGAAAGAGCTGAAATAATCATTTCACTTCAAAATGGATATACCACAAGAGAAATAGCAAGAACTCATAAAATTAGTTCTTTTACCATCTCACATATTAATAAAAAATGGCATGAACAGTGTATTTTAAATGATATAGGTAAGTCTGATCATCCACAGTTATTAAATGATCAATTAGAAAGAATAACGGTCCATCTTATTACATCTTATAACTGTTTCACTACTATTGTTATTCAAAATCATCTTTGTAAAACTGAAAATATCAAAATTTCAGAGTATACTATTTATCATACACTAAAAAAGAATGATTTAGTAGTGAGTATAAAATAAAAAAAACCATATCTAAAGTCCAAATATCAATAATATCATCTTGAATTTGTCAAAAAATATAAAAACTGACTTATAAAGATTAATCAAAGATAATCTGATTCAATGAATTTAAGTTCCAGATTTTTAGATCTGATGGAAAATAATACTATTAAAAAAGAATAGGTGAGTTATTAAAAAGTCATTATATTAAATCTATGATAAAATTCAGTAATAGAAAAGTAATAATATGGAATTATTTCATCTTTCATGATATCTGTAACTTTTATAAGATTAATAAGAACATGAATGGCATATTATATTGATAAATTCTTGAAGAAGATCTTATGAATATTATTAAAAAATATGAATTAACTATTAATAAGATTGTTTTTCAACAGGATAATAATTCTAAATATATAATTAATTTGATAAAAGAGTGATTTGATGATAATAATATTACTATTTTAGATTAATTAGCATAATTATCCAATCTAAATTCAATTAAATATTTATGAAATAAAATAAATCATTATCTTTAATATCTTCCTGAATTAATTTCAGATATGAAAGACTTATGAAAAAAAATACAACTAGTTTGAAAGAAAATTAATATGAGTTATTATACAAAGTTAATTTATTCTATATCAGAAAGAATTTGTGATATGATAAAAGTATATAATGATTATACTAGATGATAGTATATTAGATATAGTTAAAAAATAAAAAAATATAATATTTTTATTTTATATTGAGAATTATATAAATTTATATTAAAATAAGCAAATATAATATAATACTAAAAATTGAATAAATATTATAATTATGACATAATTGATTTAATAATCCATATTAATTTGATATTCTTAAGTTTATACAAAGATATTATAATTTAATAATTTTCAATTTTACATTATATTACTTTTAATTACCAGTTATTATAGAATTTATAATTAGTATTTTAATAAATATCTTCATATTTAGCAAGATTCTTGAGAAGATATAAGAGAATATATATATTTTGAAAAAGCTTTTGTAATATAATTCTGTACTAAATTCTATTGAATGAGTATATATTTGATTAAAAATTCAGTATATTTTAAATATTCACTATATATAGCAAAAAGTAACTCATAAATTATCAATAATATATCTAAAAAACTATTAAATATTAGATATATTTGCATATAAAGAAATAGTATTTTTAATATTCAACTTTAAAATTTTTTATATTCTTTTAATAATAATTTGAAGTTTTCTTAGTTATTTCTTAATTTTACATTGAATAATTTATTACTTATAAATAAAAATTTATTTTTTTTTGTTGAATTTCAATTACAAATATATTTTGCAAGGAATATCAATATTATTTTCAATATGCTACATATATATATACTTTTCAGTTAAAAATATCTGATCACTTTAAAGCTAGATAAAAATGTATAAACTTCAATAATTAATTTCTTGATAATTTATAAATAAATATTATAAAAAATTTATATTATTTTATTTAGAAAAACATGAATTTTATTAATATCTAGTTGAATTTTCATGACTATTTAATACTACTTGAATTCTTCTTGATAAACTTTCAATTAAATTTGTTAAAATTTCAGGCTCAATTTTATTTCACTTCTCTTTTAAAATTACTATTAATTTTATAATATTTTTTGGATGAGATTTATATTCTCTAATCCTTTTTTCTAAAATATCTTATAATTGAATTAAGATCTAAACTCTGTGTAGATCATAGAAGACTTAATATCAAATTATCTTTTTTTTATTAATTAACTATTCTTGCTTTATATATTAGAGTAAAGATAGTAATTATAATTATTATATTATAACACTTATATTACAATTATATATTGTAACTTATTAAAAAATTTAATAAAAATCATAACTTATCATAACTTATTGCAAGTCATAACTTATCACAACTTGCTATAACTTATTATAACTTATCATAACTTGCTATAACTTACTATAGCTTATTATAACTTACTATAACTTATTATAATTTATTATAATAATATTTTAAAGAATA